CATTTAATTGGAGTTTCATGAGCATAATTATATAAAAGGTTATAAGGTTTAACTTTTCTTTTCCAAATTCGCATTTCTGTTAATAATTGCTAACATAATGCTTCAGAATAATGCAAATCACTTCAAATTAATGCTGCAGTCTCATAAATTTTATCTAATGCAGCTTTTTTTAAACCATGACCTAAAAAAAATATCTATCATTAATTATTATATAATATAGAAATATTCGTGCATGAGCGTAAAAACTAACTTATCATAATAAATTATTAAATATAGCTACGTACAGATTTTTACTCTCATGCACTTATATATACATATAATACATATAATAAATATATAATATATACCTATATATTATCTCTATATAAAGGAGGTAGCCAATATGCAAGAATAGAAACCGGATTTACAAGTTCATAAAATCGTCGATTAAAATTAATAATAATTTCCTTTTTCTATATATTAGAGTTTTTAACTCGACTAATACTTGCTGCTAATTTAATCAAGCCAATAAAAACATCTGCTAAATTAGCTATTTTAGCTTCCAAACAATTTGTTAACTCTTTTACAGGTTTTAAAACAGTAGAAATTTGACGACACTTGATATAAAAATCTTCATCTTGAAGAAGATTAAATACCATGATATTAGATATCGCTAATACATGATTTTCTAAAATCTATAATAAAACATTAATTATATATATAAATAAATATATACATATTAATAATATAATTATTATAGTTACCCAATCAAAAACTGGTTTTGATCGAACGATTGAATCTACTGTAGTAAAAAGTGTTTCCCAATGGGTTTTAATATATAGTTTAATTTCTTCATCTTTAATTTTCATAGCACGAAGTTGTTCTGAATAGTATCCATGTGCAATATGAGAATTATGAAAAAAATTTAAAATTGAACCACATTTTGTAATAATATCTTTGATAGAATCTAGTTTAGTAAAATCAGATGCAAGTAAATTTGTCGCATGAGCTACACACCTAAAACTTAATATTGAAGGATAGGTTTCATGAATAATTTGACGAGCTATATGAAAATTTGGATCTGAGTCTGTTACAGCTGTGGTGAATTTTTCAATACCAAGCTTTTCAATAAAATTTAAAATTTCACTAATCATAAATTCACCTATCTGATTAACCTTGCTATATTCTTTTAATTTAATAAGATATTCTTTGCGTTTAAAAGTAGTAATAATAAAATTATAAATTGAATCATGAGTAGATGATGTCTATCTGTCTATAGCTATATATAGTATATATTAAAAATTTTATTGATTTTTATATATAATTTTTTTTTAAAAAAAAATTATTTATTACATACTTAAAGTAAGATTTTCTTCCTTTTCCAGTTCATTATCAAGTCGTTTATTAATTCTTAAAACTTCTTGGTCTAACAAATAACCAGAAAGTTTATCTTGTAATAGAAACTTATATCTAGGAATTGCAAGTTGAAATAAATCAATCACATAAGGATTTTCTATAGTTTCAAATGAAAAATTACTTATTACCCAAGCTTTTAAAATAGCTTGGTTTAAGGATTGTGCTCATGGTTTAGGGATTGGTTCAATTGTTTGAAAGTGAGTTGTAATTTCAGGTTGGCTATATTTAGATTTCTGTGTAAATAACTTTTCCTCAGCAATAAAATCTCTTCAAAAAAATTTAATATAATCAGAAACATTTAAGCAATGCTGAGCAAGATGTAAATGCATATCACTTGGTCAACCTCTATTCCACGTAATATTATACTATTTATAACTAGCTTTATAATATTTCTATCCTAAACTAGCGCTTTTATTAACATATTTCCAAATATCACCTAGTTTTTTATTACTATGTTTGCGCTTTTTAAGAAATTGATTTAATTCATTTGTTTCACTAAATTCTTGTTCATTTTCACTAAGTATATTAGAAGTATTTTCTAAAAAACTAGTATTACTAGTACTAGTACTAGTGAAAGAATGAAAATCTGAACTTTGTGAAGTCATTTTTTTCGATTTTATAAAAAAAAAATAAACTTTGTTACAAAAAAATAAACTTTTGTCAAATCGAAAAGGACATTTATATGTAGTTAAAAAACTTTTAATTTTTATTAAATACTTTTTATAGTATTTATAAAACTACTATATATATCTACTAATTGGGTACTTGGGGCTTTGAGTATTCATTTATTTTAATTTTTATTTGATTTTACTGTACTAACTATTCTTTTTTGCATTTTTTTTTTGCATGAAAGCAAGGGTCAAGAAACTTTGAATTTTTACACATTTTCATATAGTTTATGATACTGCTCTACCTATTTTGTCTTTATTACTTTCTTCGTAATGAATTCTATGATTTCACTTTTTGGGCTAGTGGCTTTAGGTTTCAAATATCAGAATCACAAGGACAAAATTGATATTATATGCCTACTTTTATCAATCTTTATTATCACTATAATAATTGGCCTGTGAAATCTTAATTGGTTGTAATGATAAGGTTATTGATTGTGATAATAGCAGGTTTAACTCTGTTGTATAATATTTTTAAACGAAAAAGTTATATTTGTTATATTTGAGATCCGAAAAGGTATATGAGATACCAAGTGAAATAAAAATAACCAAATCTGACATTTATGCTTTAGTTAAATATGTAATAATTAGTTAAATATCAGATGCAAAAAGTAACCTGTAAATAAATAAAAAGTATATTATAAATAAAGGCTATGAAGGCCATAGAGAAATAAGAATTCTCTCTTCGTATAATAAATAATAACTCCTATTAAACTTCTTGTTAATAAACTATTACTTGACCCCTTATATTTAATAAATTCCCCAATAAATATACACGCTAAATTACCCTAACCCGAGTTTATTACTAAGTGGTATAAATGATAAACCTTGTCTTTCAATAAACCCTTGCTCATGTGACTCCTGTTAATTCGATACCCTGTCCAGTTGCTAACCTGAAGTACTAGATACAACTGTGGTTAATAAGTTCAGCTTACCTGAAGTAGTATGATATAGCTAAGGATATATATTACTCAGATAATAGAGATATTTACCTATGGAACTGAAACCACTGACCAAATTTAAACACTTCTTTTTGACTAAGCCAGCTGTAGGTTATGCAAAAAATTAGATTGTTGAGTGACTGACTCGCTGCTATGCCCAGTTCTCAGAATAAAAGTTAGAACTAGAATTTAAAATAAAAAAATTAATTTGTATAGTTTGAGCAAAAAATAACAAATTTTTAACTGGAAACTATTTTAATTCTTGGTTAAAATAATTTTTTTTTAGATACAATATATAAGTTATTTTTAATACTTTTAATTAAAATTGATATATATAAGTTTGATCCATAGGTCGATAGCACAAGTGGTTAGTGCTCCCAGGTCACAATCACAAGGTCATAGGTTCGAATCCAACTGGGGGACAAGGCTTTGCCAAGACCACGATTGAAAATAAGATCTTCGGAGGACTTTCCCGTTTAAGAAAAGAACAAGATCCATTCATACAAAAGCAGTTCACGGTATAACCACGGTGTCAGGAATGACTAGATAAGGCAAATCTGTCAACAAATAACGTTAACATTGAGAAAACCTAGCTTAAGGACTAATAAAAATAAAAGGACGATCTGGCTAGTGGGTCATGTGAACTTAGGGAACTGCGGACCTAGAAAACGTAGGTCCTACACCACAGGACCAGGAACTCGGGACATCATATGACAGACTTAATAAAGCATGAGCTATCTCACGAGTTCAGTGACATACAGAGGCTTGCAGCCTTCTGTTGATCTCCGCAGAATGATAACTCTAGCCTTAAAAGATGTGACAGATCCTAAGATGTCTAAAGACCTTCAGAATAGCAGAAGAAGGTAAAAAAAAAAAAAATATATATATATATATAAGTTTGGAATTTATTTATATATTATTAAAGCATTAATATAAATAGTATAATTAATTAAGTTTTTTTTTAATTTATAATAATTTATTACTTTATCAATTTTACCAATTTCACTAATTCCACCAATTTTACTAATTTCACCAATTTCACCAATTTATCAATTTCACCAGTTTTACCAATTTCACCAATTCACCAATTCACCAATTTCACCAATTTCACTATTTCACCAAATTTTTATTTTGTTGTAATTTTGGTAAAATTATTTTACCATTTCACCTGGTGAAATTATATAATTTCACTAGCATCATTAGTCATAACCTACGTAGAAATTTCACCTTCTAGGTAAGGTACCTCTAGGTGCAGAATTATTTGGGATTATTTTGCATAGTGACTGTTAGCACTTCTTAGAAAATAGCGATGAGTTTAATTTTTATTTTTTACTTGTAAAATGTTACATTCTTAAAAAGTACTTTAAACTGCATAAATACAATTGTAAGTGATTGACCAATCAGAAGAAAGTTATCCTATAGAACTTAGACCGGTTCCGGTTCGGGTCGAGTTTCACCTATTCGGGTACGGGTCTATTCTTGGACCCGCCCCGGTTTTTCGGTTCGGATCCGGATCTTTGTTGAAACCCCGCCCGAACCGTCCCGTGAGGAACACTAGTTATGTGTAAGCATAATTTTAGCATAATCTTATTTAATTCGCATAATTTACATAATTTAGCATAATTTACAGCATATTTCTAAATAAATTATCGCATAATTCGCATAAATGACCTCGTAGAAATCGCAGATTTTAAGGTTTGTCGCCGCAGGTGTAACGCAAAAATCACGCTTTTTTTTCGCTAATAACACTATTTTGACTATGAAATCGCCTTCTGCCGGATTAAATAACAAAATTCCTTGCTAAATTTTGGTGTAAGGCGTTAAACTTCCTAACTTTAACGATAAGTATTACTTTAAAACTTTCGCTCTATTAATTGTTTTGATTTTTACGTTATACCTGATCAGATATTGAAAAATTATTGGCTTGCGCCACAAAAAATCACGTATCGGAAAATTTGTGCTTAAACGTATCGCTTCGTTTCACTTTGACGAACTATCACATATCGTTTTGCCATGTGGAATTCTGTACTTCAGGACACGAGCCTTTCCAAGCATTCCCGAAACATCCCGTACCACACCCGGACCACTTTTTTTTATAGGGTAGTCATATAACGATAAAACGTTTAGAAAATGGTCTAGAGTGCTATTTATTATATAATTTAGTGAGGGGGAAATATGCCAGTGATATTATATGCCAAAACTCCGTAGAATTTAATAAAAATTTTGTCGAAAAAAAAAAAAAAGAATTAGTGTTGCATTGCCGAAGGTGTATATTAGGTTTAGCAAAAAATAATCCATTTTTTGCAATAAAAAAAACAATATCCCACGCTTTGGATGCTCCAATATGTTTTAAAACGCCTACATAATATATCATAAAGGCGATTAAAAGAGCATATAGTACGTATTAATTCTGATCTATTTTCAATTCTTCGTAACAGTAATAATTTGAGTAATTGGGTTGGTTTCGATTCCTAATTCTCAAAGTTTAAAAGAAGTTTTAATCCAATTGTCGATCCTTAGGGATTCCCAAGTTTACATTATTAGGTTCATGAAGTACAGAAATAATAAAGTCGTAATCAGTTTGTGAAATAAATGATTTTCCTTCAAGATATTTATTAATTAAATCATTAAATATTTGTCTTGAAATAAATGAGTATTCTTCCGATTCCCACTTAATTGTTAAGTGGATTCGGAATCTACAGAATTCAGAATCCACTTACAACATATGGGGTCTTTGCCTTGAAAATCAAGTTATGAGACATATGATTTACTATGTCCCATAACTTGATTTTCAAGGCAAAGACCCCATATATTTATTCTTTTCGTATGTTTAAATTACAATTGTTTATTATTTATTTATTTATTTATTATTTTTTTTTCTAGAAATGTATCTATTGATTTTCCAATTTGTTCGGTGCGTATTAACTTCAATTTTATAGTCTTCCAAAACTCGCTCTAAGCCTTTTTCATTAATTTTCATGTGATGCATTATTCCTTTTTTTAATCCTGACATCATATTTAGCATTATGACAAGACCAGTCTCACCTTTTAGAAGAGTAAAAGGTGGTCGAGGTTTTTAGTATGACAAAAAGTGAAAGTTAGGATTTATTATATGATTAAGGAATGTTTAGTGCGTATTTACCTATTTGGCCTCCCCACGACCCTATAGCCATGGTGGCTTCAGTCTGGGTGACCTCGCCCATTAGTGGCTGGGATTCTATTATTTCAGGGAATTTCGATTCAAGGAAAGGATTTCGACCACCTAGAATCAATGTCTTTTCAACTAAATAAATGCAAGAAATAAGATTATTGATGATGTATTAGGCTTAAATAATAATTCTTAACAAATATAATATAATGAACAAAAAAAAAAAACTTACTAGCAGTAGACAGTTGCTCTACGATAGTACCGGAATTTTCTGATATTAAACCACCTTCGACACACTCTATGTAACCGCCAGGCTTGAGCACCCTTACATATTCTTTTTTAAAGTTAGGAAAGGATTGTGTAAACGAAAGAAATTTTTTATATGAGCATGCTTACCTTTAATCAAATGATTTCTCCACTGTGCTTCGCTGAACGCAAGGGAATTTAGCCGGGAATAAACGAGATCGAACGTATTATCTTTTAATAGTATTGAAATTTACGTATGAAAATAATGATCACACAAAAATTTTTTAGATCATATAATAATATGCACGAAAGAATTTTAGGATACCTGGAAAAGGAAAGTTTTCTAAAACATCTCCTTGAATTATTCTAACATTTTTTGGTTTTTGTTCAGGGAATATAGAGTCCTTTTCTATCCCTACAAAAGTTGATTTTGGAAAGTCTGCGGCCATCTCAGAGATCCATGTGGCTTTTTGTTCAAATTTGGCAAATATTTAATTTTTATGATGGAAAAATGTCTTAAATTTTTTCAGTAAAAATTTACCTGTACCACAACTATTAATCAATTATTAGTTAGTGAGAATCTATATGTGTATTACGAATATATTTACGTGTTATTTCAATTATATAAAAAACTCACCAGACATCTAACACTGCAACACCACCTTCTCTCAATTGTTCTCCCAGTGGAGCTTTAAAATTTCCATCCCAAACACATCTCATAACGTGATGCAACATTTGCATCCTGTCGATGAATCGATCATCTTGATTATGTAGTTGAGGGCACTCTTTATTTTGTATTTTATCGTCAACAGATTTATTAATTTTATATATTAATTTAGGGTACTTTGAATGCTTATTGCCCATAATTTTTATTAGTTGATATTGTCAATGTGAAATTTTTATAACAACAAAAAAAAAAAAAGGTTAGAAAGGAATATTATGATAATGAGAATTTCTGTGAATTGTAATAGAAATATTTTTAAGATCCGATCCACATTATTTATATACACATTCAAATGAAAAGTTATTTAAATTACAAATTATATAATCTGTAATCTTATATTATACACAATTGACAAAGAAAAATAAATGAAAATTGTTGGATAACTTGAAAATGCAGCAAGTTGATTCATAATTATTATGTTCGTAAATCAATGCTATATATATATTAGCATTAGATATACGTATTAAAATTAAATAGGATTATATATCTTAATTTCCGAAAATAAAAACTATATTTTATACACACAATAACGATACGTAATAGATTTTCAAACCAAATAAGGTGTTATTAAGTTTGAAATAAGTCATTAAGTTCTGGAATAAAATTTGATGTATATAATTAATTTTCGTCATCACTGTAGAATGAAGTCATCGAGGGTGTGGAAAAAAAAATTCACAATACTTTATTATTATTGAGGTAAAAGTAATAGAATTCAAAATTCTTCATCATTCTAATCTTTATTTAACGAGAGTGAGTTGTATCGAGATTTCTTATAAAATTTTTATTGAGTTTTTAAAACATTTCTTATCGTTATATCAAGGGTTCCAAAACCGAATATCGTGTATTTGAATTATTTGTAATAAATAATTATTTGGAAAGTTTTTACAGGGATAACAGCATTCTGTTTGGACCTTGTATAAATTATAACAAAGTATTTTGTCGATTATTTATTGAAACTTAGTATCAATAAAAAAAACTAGCGCTAGGAGAATAGACTATAAAGGGGGTTGGATGTTTTAAATTTAATTGGTGGTTGATTCCCGAACAACCAATTAAAATTCATACTTATTCACGAATTATTATTATTTTTTTTTAGAGTAACGGTAATACAAACTTGCGAACACATAAAAAACGAACTTACTAAAAATAATATTTATCATAAAATTTGACTTTGGTCTCTAATCTTAAATTTTTAGCTTCACACACTTAGTTTATTTAATAAATTAAATATCTTTTTTTGATTTGTGTTATTCGCGCAAATTCGCGCACACTTTTCAATTACGGCGGGTTTTCCATATTACCGAAATGCCGTAATGTCATAAAATTTAAGAGCTACGTATATCTAGGGTTGTGTTACGCAAATTAAATTTTACTTATAGTTTAGTACGTACAGTACGTACCTTAGATTTTCTCATGTAATATCTGGTATGTCGTTCGAAGACTCGGGTCTAATCCAATAAACTGGTTTGGTGAATTTGGACCGTACTAGACCGATCTGGAGTGTTCTATTTGAATTTCTTCTACTGTAACCACGAATTTATTTTACAAAATGAAATTTCTCTCCAACTATTTCCTACACATTTTGAAATAAACATTTGCTTTCTTCAATGAACGCGCACCTAACCAATCTTTCCAGTTCTCAGATCCCGCCCCTAAATTCGTCCTGCGAAAACTGCTATATCCTTACCTCTCAACTTATTACAAAAGATGAAACTATATCATCACTACAACAATATATAATCAAATTACAAAAAGATTTATTATCAACTCAACAAGAGCTTATTCGTTGTAACGAAACCTTAGAGCATTTGAATTGCTGCTCAGTCACGAATAGTCATAACTTTGATATTGTTTGTCATCGACATACAATTAAGTCAAAAACTTGTTTGTGTCACTTTCATGAATTGAATGATTGTGAATTATGCGGAAACGAAATTTGTAATGATACTGCAGCTTTTCATAAAACTGAAAGGTGTTTACAAAATGTCGTAAATGGTATTGGATCTCTCAGGATTCAAGAAGGTAATAATAGTGTTTATATGTATATATATATAATTTATTATTCTTTTATAATGATTTTGAATTGAAATTCATAGAATACAAAGTTTGGATCGGAAATGTCATCCCTCCAATTACGATTCAAGGATTAAAATATAGACTTGAAGATGAATTTGGTGAAGTTTCATATATTGAGCATAATGCCCCTCAAGTACGTATTTCTTTCTATTTCTATCTTAACTTCTTCATTATTAATTTTATACATGTTTTTTTTTTTGTTATTGGTCATAGCCATATGCCTACGTAACCTTTAAAAATCAAGATTCGTTTTATAAAGCTGTAGAAACGAGGAGAATCTACGTGCAGGGAGTTAAAATCAATGTTGAGAAGCCAAGACATTAATTAGTAATAAGCAGAATAATTTGTAGTATTTGAGTTGGTCCTAATTTGTCTTTCGTTTTTTTTTTATGCACATAAGATATAAATCAGAGGATAATTATCAAACTAACCAGCACACAAACGAATTTTAGAAAATCAAATAACATGCTTTCAGAACATCCGCGTACTTCATTCAAGTTTAAGCAACAAATAAATTCATATACAGTACAGCGAAAATTAATTCAAAGATAATAATGACATTCAATATGTTATTTTTATCATTCCAGTAATTCCTGCACGACATAATTCATTGTTAATTAAAAGTTAGTAATATAAAATTTTAAAAGAAATTATCATTTGTTAAATTTGAATTATAACTGGATTTTAAATTTCAAAATCTCTTTAAAAAGGGTGCAATCTACCGTGACATGAAAGCTAAAAAATTTTCGAGCTATTAATTATTGCATAAAAATATACAATACATTTAAATCTGACTTGTAATTATTACATTTGTCTCATTTTCGGACCGATCCGGATTAATTTAATTTCACGATTTTATTATCTTGATTTTTTGTATGCAAATCGACTTTCATTTATGTAAAAATGGAGCACTCCATATGAGAGGTGTGACTATTATAAAGACTTCCATATATTTAATTAATAAATAAAATTAGTAACTATATTTAAAATAAATTTTTTAATAAGTTAATGATAAGACTTAATATTTAAAGCTTATTTATAAGTAAGTTTGTGTTTATCAATAATGTTATTAGATAATATTGTGAGCAAGTAATATAACTTTATTATTAATTAATGTCGCGAATTATGATGAGATTTGGACCTATTTTGATATGAGAATTTAAAATTTTTTAGGCAATATTTTCTTAGTTTTTTTTAGAGTTGTTTAGAAAAAGAGTAAGGTAAATTTTAGTAGAGGTTATATTTTCAAAAGGAGACCCATCATCCAATCTCACCATAATCCACGATAATTAATATTAAGATTTACTTTTTATAATATTTAATTTGATATATTTTTACTTGCTTATTTTAAAGTAACTTTTTAGAGCAAAAACTTGACTTAATTTATTAGTAGTGAGAAAAATAAGAATATTAGAGTGTTATTTATAATCCAATTAAAATTTTTTTTAAGTCGTCTCTTTAGCTGATAAAATATTTATTAATTTGATACTAATTTTAATTAATTGTAAATAAGTGTTCAGAGATAAGTATCTATGAATAAGATATATGGTATGATTTTAATTCCATATGTAAACATATGAATTGAATATTGAGCCTAACCAAAAATTCTTTCCTTATTTTTCCTCACATAAAGTTGGAATTAGGCTGAACCATACATAAAATCGTTGTGTTAATAAAGACCACCTTTAAAAACCAGGATAATACTAACCTAACCCTAATTTATATATCGAATATTTTGTGGAAGAATTTCTCATCAAAGTGGATTTATTTTTATTTAAACTAATATAAAGATTTTACTTTCAGTTAACTTATTATTTTTCTTTTCCTTTAAAAAATTTTTTTTACATTTTACTTTTTAATGCTATATTACATTAAGCATTATGTTTCAAATTCATTATTCACTAACTGGACAACTCTATTAGAAATACAGTATTTATAATCAGGCATTTTATTGTTTACAACGGATACATTAATTTTTCGATATTTAATAATAATAATTCCAAATGCTATTTAAATAAAAAAGAACCAAATTTTAGATTAACTATTCAATTATATATATAATAAGAAAAATACTTACAGCCAGGGTCAGGTTGAGGTAATATAATAACAGCTTTTTCTACTTGTTGTCCCGCTAATATTGATAGACGTAACATTCCAAGGACATTTATGATTATTCTGTAACAAGGCATTGAAAAACGTTTTGTACTTGGTTGAGAATTTGGTGACTTGAATTCAAACATTCGACAATTTTGACGATGCTCAACTAAATACGAGAATATTGAAGCAATTTTATCTTCTTGTAATTGATAAATCCCTTCATGAACTTGTTTTAATTCCTTTTGCATATTGAGATCTTTTAAGGGTGAAAAAAGTGATACACTTTATAAAATAATTTAAAGTTCGATTAATAAAAAAATTTCAAATACTTAAATTTATAGGAAGAAATGCTACATATTTATAGATCTATTTTCAGAAGACCGCATTGAGATTGGTATATATAGCATTAGTTCATCATCTAAAACACGATCAATTTCAACAAAATATCTACGTATGGCACGATAAATTATAGTCACCTGTAAATCAAAGTTTGAATTAAAAAGAATGTCATAAAATGTGAATATTCCCATTAAATCATTATTAAATGCTTTTCTCATTAACGAGATGTCAGAAATTTCAAAATCATAAACTAACTTAAAACCATTTCTATTTCTAAATCCTCTTCACATATCAAATTCTTCCTTTGTAAAGACATCTTAACCTCTTTATTATATATCCTCATCTGAAGCCCTATATTAAGTAAGAAAAAGTTGATTGCGGCAGGAAAATTTAAAAGCAAAGGACGGATTGATGCTTTTTCTTTAAACATTTTAGTTGGTTTTATTCTCTCATAATTATCATCATTGGTCCATTCAATTAATAGATTGGCTAATCCTCTACCGTCAGTAATACAATGATGAAAAGAAAAAAAACCATTACTGACTTTCCTTCATCAAGTCCATAAATAAACAAATTTTCCATAAAAGTTTATTTAAATCCCTGCTTTTAGGTATAAATTTCATTACAAATTCCTGTAATTCATTGGTTGTACCAGTAGCAAGAGTATGGGGTTTAATGTTTTCACGAACATTAAAATTCGGATGGTCTCTCCATGACCAATTTGTGCCACCGTAAACGGAACATCTAAATCTTGGATACATAACAAACAGAAGATCTCAACTCCAAATTATTTCATATGTAATAGTTCATAGTGAATAAAAAATCATGAGAATCAATATAATATTAGAAGTGATTTTGGATTATATTATCTATCCTTACTGATTAATGACATAATTAATCAATGGTGATTTTTTTACGTATAAATCAAACAAAATGAATCGGTTTATCAATCTATCACGACCACATAAAAAACTAACTAATTAAGTAGAGATTGGACCCGTTAACACAAAATTCAGCGACACGTATCAAATCTAACAGGGATTCTGGTCAATGGACCAAAAATGTGGCTTAGTGGTCTCAATGGACATTGTCCATTGGGTCAATGAATAATGTCTATTGAGATTTTTTTAGAGCCTATCATAGCCATTTCCAACCCTGGATTCGGGCTTTGAATAAAAATAGTAATTCGATAGTAATGAACGAAATTGGTAAAGTCAATCCTTGATAATAATAATAACTACAACTTGATAAATAGCGATAATTAACGGAATTTTATGAAATACCAATTGACGAACTTGTTATTAAAACGAAAGTTTAGTTCTTAATGTAAAACTAGTTACTTGGGATCAAGCGAATAAACCTGTAAATGCATCACGCAAAATGCGTTGCATATTTCGTACACAATCCAGTTACAGTAGTACGTTAATATAGATTTAAATGGCCGTGAAGCTAAGTATGTGATGGTATATTTATGCATTCACATCCTCACTGCGCCACATGTATAATCCAATAAGTATGAATATTTTGAGACGCAGTATAACCATACACTTTGTGAAATTTTCAATATCATATCGTTCCTAGTAAATGAATCGACACTAAACCTCAATAAAGCAAAAAAAAAAAAGTACCACGAACTATGTGCAATTTTTTAATTACGTTAATTAATTATTTAGGTGTTGAAAACGATGAATATAAAGCATTCAAAAATTTTCAAAAATCTGCTAAGATTGGAGATGTTGAAGGAATATATAATCTTGCAAATTGTTATTTTTATGGAACGGGAGTTGAAAAAGATGAATATAAAGCATTCATTAATTATCAAAAATCTGCTGAGATGGGAAATACAGATGCAATAAATAACCTTGGATATTGTCATCAATATGGAATAGGGGTTGAAAAGAATGAACATAAGGCATTCATTAATTATCAAAAATCTGCTAAGATGGGAAATTCTTCGGCAATATATAACCTTGCGAATTGTTTTGAAAATGGAATTGGGATTGAAAAGAATGAACATAAGGCATTTATTCATTATCAAAAATCTACTAAGATGGGAAATGTTACTGGGATATACAATCTCGGACGTTGTTATCAAGATGGAATAGGGGTTGAAAAGAATGAACATAAGGCATTCGTTTATTATCAAAAATCTGCTGAGATGGGAAATGCGAATGCAATAAATAATCTTGGGTATTGTTATCAACATGGAATAGGAGTTGAAAAAGATGAACATAAGGCATTCATTCATTATCAAAAATCTGCTGAGATGGGAAATGCTTCTGCAATAAGTAATCTTGGAAATTGTTATCAACGTGGAATAGGGGTTGAAAAGGATGAGCATAAAGCATTCGTTCATTATCAAAAATCTGCTGAGATGGGAAATGTGAATGTAATTAATAACCTTGCGGATTGTTATGAAAAAGGAATAGGGGTTGAAAAGGATGAACGTAAGGCATTCGTTCATTATCAAAAATCTGCTGAGATGGGAAATATTACCGCAATAAATTTACTCGGATATTGTTATGAATATGGAATAGGGGTTAAAAAGGATGAACATAAAGCATTCATTCATTATCAAAAATCTGCTGAGATGGGAGATGCGGGTGCAATAAATCAACTTGGATATTGTTATCGATCTGGAATAGGGGTTGATAAGGATGAACACAAGGAATTTGTTCATTATCAAAAATCTGCTGAGATGGGAAATACTACTGCGATAAATAATCTTGGATATAGTTATCAATATGGAATAGGAGTTGAAAAAGATGAATATAAAGCATTCATTAATTATCAAAAATCTGCTGAGATGGGAAATGCAAATGCAATAAATAGCCTTGGATATTGTTATCAACATGGAATAGGGATTGAAAAGGATGAACATAAGGCATTCATTCATTATCAAAAATCTGCTGAGATGGGAAATGCTGGTGCAATGTATAATCTTGGAATTTGTTATGTCAATGGAACGGGAATTGAAAAGGATGAACATAAAGCGTTCACTTATTGCCAAAAATCTGCTGATATGGGTAATTCTAATGCAATGACTCGAGTTGGGGATTGTTATTTTTATGGAATAGGGGTTGAAAAAAACGAACACAAAGCATTTATTTATTATAAAAAGTCTGCAGATATAGGTTATTCTAATGGAATGTCTAAAGTCGGTTATTGTTATCGAAATGGGATCGGAGTATCAAGAGATTTACAGATGGCTAATTATTGGTATCAAATGTAAATAATTTTCTTTTGAATTTTTTTTTATTTTTTCATCACTACAGAATTAAATTTTTTTTGGTAATGATTAGGGAAAAAAATAAGATATTAGGTAATTTAAAAAAACGATTATTATTAATTTTAGGGTGTTTTAAATTACTAGTAATAATTATGTATTTAATCATAGGAGAAGATACAACCGAAAATTCTGATATCGATGATGAAATTAAAAAATTATTGATTGAAGAAAAATATCCATTGATGTGGATTTCATATAAAGAATTTAGTAGTATTAGGAAAATAGGACATGGTGGTTTTGCAACAGTATTTTATGCAGAGTGGACAGATAAAAAACAAAATATAGAGAGAAAAGTTGCACTCAAAACACTTCACGGATCAAAATTTCAAAACGAAGGGTTTATAAAAGAGGTAATTTATTTCAATACTTATGTTTTTTAATAGTTATATATTAAAATATTAATTATTTTTTAATAGTTATATATTAAAATATTAATTATTTTATTTTATATTAAAGCTAAAAGCGTATTGTGATATTAATTCTAAATATCCCTCATTTTTAAAATGCTATGGGATATCAAAAGATGATTTCTCTGAAGATTATATCATTGTATTGGAATATGCAGGAATGGGTTCATTGCGTCAAAATCTTCACGTAGTAACACAAATGAAATGGAAAGATAAAATAACATTATTGGATTGTATTGCATCTGATCTTCAAATGATTCATTCGCAAAAGCTTATTCATCGCGATTTACATAGCGGTAATATTTTACAAGATAATTTACATAGCGCTTATATTGCAGACTTGGGACTTTCAATATCAACAAATCTAGAAATGAATGCAGAGAAACGAGGAGTTTATGGAATATTACCGTATATAGCTCCAGAAATACTGGACGGAGGACAGTATACAACAGCATCAGATATTTATTCATTTGGAATAATTATGTGGGAAGTTTTATATGGAAGATCAGTATCATATAATCAAGATTTTGGAACCCAACTTCAATTTGAAATATGTCGCAATGACTTAAGACCAACAATTATTGAGAACACACCACAATGTTACATAAGTTTAATGAAAGAATGTTGGGAAAAAGAACCAATAAACCGCCCATCTGCAATAAAAATCTGTGAAATTCTTACAGAATGGCAAAGTGATGAAAATATTTTACTAGAACTAGCTAAATCTGATGAAATATTACAAAATATTAAAAGCACGCTTCTACAAACTTATTCCGATAATGTATATAAAAGCAAATTTATTAATTATACCACTACAATTTATCAAGGTAAACTATAATATTTTTTAATAAATAAAAAATTTATTCTTTAATACTAATCATATTTATTTAACAGATAGCGAAATGAAAAAGTTGAATATTGAAGAATGATAAAAAACAAATTTATAGCATGTGATTGTAAAGTTTAAATTACTTGTTTTGATTTTACTTTTAAGTTCTGTTAACTTGGTAATTTCTCTATATGTGGCCGAGATCGAATTTTATTATCTAGGTCTAAATTCGTCAATTAACAAAATCGAGTAAAAAAGGTCGAATTTTAATATCTAGGTCTGAATTCGTCATTTAACAAAACCGAGTGAAAAAGATCATATTTACTTTATCAAACCTAGATTGTTTTAGCAAAAATTTAATTTGTAATTTCTTAAACTGTAGTCTTAAAATTTTTTATTTTGTTCAAAGGTTTGGGATATAGATATCTGACGAAGCTATTTTTGCCGTTGACGGATTGACGAAACTATAGGTTTCGTCATTGGACGAAATTACATGGTTTCGTCAGGTCACGTGAATTTCGTCAGGCATCACTAGTTTGCGGTCTTGTATATATTGCATTTATTATTAGCAAAATCTTAAGTAAATAATTTAAGCTCGTAAATAGCTTTCCATTTCGAATACTCTTCATTCATTTGATTCACTAATAAGTCTACAGATTCCAATGGCTGTACCATTGGCCAACTTCTGTGTAATTCTTTCGGAGTGGCGATTTTATTAGTCGAACTAATTTAATTTAATGTTGGCCAAAATTAATTTTAAGTTGGCAGTTTTAAGCATATAATATTTGTAACTTACCGATGTTATCCGAGCCCTGTTCGAAACCTGAATCGACTTTTTGATCATGTGAATTTAATTATGTACTGAAACCGGGTACAGCGGCGAGTCAGTCGCTCAACAATCCAAATTCTTGCGTAACCTACGGTCGGCTTAATCGAAAAGAGGCGTTTATATTTGGTCGGTGATTTGGTGTCCGTAGGTAAGTATTCCTTCGTTTGACTTGGTTTTTGTACACTAATGTCTTTACTAACTTCAATCCTTAATTACCACACTACTTCGGGTAATTAGATAACGATACAACCACAACTATCGCACTACTTCGGATAGTTGGATGCGATAACCACGGCTGTAGGGGTGAGAATCGATTCTATTTTGAAAATCGATAATCGAATTGCCAGAATCGATTCTAAAATCGATAATCGAATTTATATTTTGATTAAAATTTATAAGGCTTTTTTACTTATTACTATCTATAATTCGATCTAGTTACGTATAATAAATAATATATTAAACATATTAAAATAATTTTTAAAAATAATTTTTTAATATAAATAAAGAATAATACAATAAAATAAATAATACACTAAAATAATAATAAAAAAAATATGGAGAAAAAAGCAAAAGCTAAAAAAAACTCCATAACATACAATTAATATAGTTTTAAATAAATATCTAGATAAAACATATCAGTATATATATATAAGCCTATAATTTAAATTAAGTTTTATTATTAATTATTTTTTAAATTGATTTATAATTTATTAATAAATAATTTAATAAAAAATTATACATACGTACATATCTAATTTTATTGCTCATCCCAATTTGTATCACATTGAATATCTGCATATTTATTATTTCTTTTTAAAAACATTAGCTGTTCAACTAAATTTGGACTTAGTGATGTTCTTTCAAAGCTAATTAGTTTACCTGCATCTGAAAATAACCTCTCAGAAGGTACAGAAGTTCCTGGTATTGATAGATATTTCCTTGCAAGTTGAGATAATCTTGGATAATGAATTTTATTAACTTGCCACCAAATTAAAGGATCATGTTCTTCTAATGCTGGAAGAACATTTTCATTTAAATAGCGAGTAAATTCATCATATACAGGAGTAGGAATTATTTGATTTCTTATAGCAAAAATACTAGCCATTACTGATTTACTTGATTTATTTAATGTTTGATTAACTGTTTCAGTATAATATGTTGTTTCTGTTTCATATTCTTG